ACCCCCAAACCCTAACCCCCAAACCCTAACCCCTAACCCTAATAACCCTAACCCTAACCCTAATAACCCTAACCCTTACCCTTAATCCCTAACCCTAACCCCTAACCATAACACCCAACCCCTAACCCCAAACCCTAACCCCAACCCCTAACCCCTAACCCTAACCCGAATAACCCTAATAACCCTAACCCTAATAACCCTAATAACCATAACCCTAATAACCCTAACCCTTAACCCTAATCCCTAACCATAATACCTAACCCTAACCCCTAATCCTAACCCCAACCCTAACCCTAACCCCTACCCCTTAACCCTAACCCCTAACCCTAAAACCCTAACCCTAAAACCCTAACCCTAACACTCTAACCCTAAAACCCTAAACCTAAAACCCTAACCCTAAAACTCTAACCCTAACCCTAAAACTCTAACCCTAAAACCCTAACCCTAAAACCCTAACCCTAAAAACCCTAACCCTAAAGCCCTAACACCCTAACCCTAAAACCCTAACTCTAAAACCCTAACCCTAAAACCCTAAAACCATAACCCTAAAATCCTAACCCTAAAACCCTAACCCTAAAACCCTAACCCCCTAACCCTAAAACCATAACCCTAAAACCCTAACCCTAAAACCCTAACCCTAAACTGTAACCCCTAACCCTAACCCGAACCCCTAACCCTACCTAACCCTTTGTTAAATAAAAACCATCAACACCCACGATTGATCGATCATGGCTGTTGATGGTTATGAAGAACACTCCATCAGTTATTATTTTTGACAAATTTATAACCTAGAGCCAGTGACATTATTTAGGGTAATATTTGGTATGTAGATCCAGTTACTAATGGTTTGGATACAACTAAAGGGAAGCCTATCCTCCAGTGTGTAAAATTACTCTCTCGCCAAATGGCTCGGTCTCACCCGTTGCTCACCAAACACTCGGCACCCAAGAACCACCTGCAACGCACTCAGATGACACATCTGGTGTCAGGTGAGGACGTGGCATTCACCATGCTACTTACACTCACTAGATGAAAACCACTCGCCCACTCACCTGATTCTCACCTCTCACCACACACTCATCTGACACTCAATCAGACAAACTCGGCATGCCCATATGACTGACAAATTTATTCTGTAGCCAGGGCTTCACTGGATAGGCGATGTCATTCGGTCATCTTACCTATAAAAGTAAGTCTGTCCGTCTGTATGTCTCTCTGTCTGCGCATGCCTATCCTTGCAACGCTTTTAACTGACAAACTATTGGTTTACGATAACACGCAATTTTTTTTCCCCTTGGTCAAATGTATACTAATAAAATCTTACTTCATAATATTGCAGTGAAATCGCGGGATGTCACTGTGCAGTGCCGGCCTGAGAGAGGCACGGCGTGTGGTGTAACGACATAGCGGACACCACAATGGTGTGGGTGTAGTACCGGCCCTATAGGGGACCGGTGAGCGCTGATTGATAGCGCTAGATGGCACCATGCTTGGTGTGCAGTGCCAGCCCTACAGAACAGGGTATGGGAGTGCCGGCCGTAGGAATGAGGTTACTAAAAGGACATGGCACTCTGGTTGACTCGAGAGGACACGTGACCAGTTAAGTCTAATAGGGGCCCAAGTAGGGGCTAAGGGTGGTCACGTGGTTAGCATCCAGAACCTTCCCGAGGATTCTGGAAAGTGGTCGTGGCCAAGGTGTAGAGGGAATGGCTCTGACTGACGGCCACGTAGTTTGACGCGGGGCCGCTCACCATCATGAAGGTTCTTAAGGATCATGAGCTAAGTTTGAGGGACTCCGAAAGCATGAAGAACAACCCAGAGGCCAGGCCTACTGATGGTATCATAGGCCTTGAGCAGGTCAATAAAGCACATACATTCACTCACACGCACACATGGACCTACAGACACGCAAAGAAATGGACTTACACTGACTGACATGGAGCCATGCACACAAAGCACCTAACACAGACGCCCATGGACTGACACACACACACATATGGACTCACACACACATAGACATGCACTTTAGATACACACACATGGAGTTACACACACATATCGACGTACACACATACAGCGATTCACACACACACACATTGACTCACACACAGACATACATGGACTCACACACACATTGACGTAAACACGTGTACTTACACACACCCATATCGACTAAGACACACACACATGGACTTACACACATATACATAGACTTGCACACACATTGCTCTACACACACATACGGACTGTGACACACAGACATCTACTTTAGATACAGACACATGGATTAACACACATCGACTCACACACACGCATTGACTTACACACACACATCGAGTGAGACACACACGTATGGACTTACACACACGTGGACTAACACACACACACTGCGACTGATACACACACAAATGGACTGACACACACACACAAACACTTGTACATACACACACACACGGTGCGTTGTCCGTTTGAAAAAGACAGACACACACATGGACTTACACACAGACATGGACCCACACACATAGAAACCCATCGACTTACATGCACACAAACACATGGACTCACACACACAGACATCGACTTTAGGCACACGCATGTAGTTTCTGCACACGAACATTACAATAGTAACACAGTATTAGGCAACTTATTAGTTTCATAATAGTGTAGTGTTGTAAGGACGGACTTCTAAACGTCTTTTATGGCACACACCGTTTATTATCTTAATAACACAGTCCCCATCACACTAAGGGGTATATGGTCCCCTCACGCATTTCCCTCAGAAGGTACAAGCCTCCGGACCCTGCAGGCTATCTAATCTCCCTGCTCTCCCAGCATCCTCTGGTTGGACCTAGGGGATCTCTCCCCGACCACTGGTTACTCTGAGCCCGAGCCCTGATAAGGGCTGGAGGGCTTGGTCCAGGGTCATAGACGTCTTCGGCCGACTTGGGTCTTGGTGTAGCAGAACCCCTCCAGAGCTCTCAGCGCTCTGGCTTTTATACCTGTTCGTGGCCGGGTTGTCCAATCCCCGGCCACCTTGTGATACCCTCTGATTGGTCCTTCCCAATCTGGGTTTGGATCCTACCTCACCCCATTTGACTGAGCGGGAAAACCTTGTTTACGATCTGCTGTCACAGTTTGCGAACAGCGAGTAGTTAACACCACTACAATAGTAATGAAGCAGAGTTATGTGCACACAAACATTATCATAATATTTGTAAACTTATTTGTTTAATGATAGTAAACAATAAACCTGAGTTGTTAGCGAAAGATGCAATAAAATTGTACTTTACATTGGCGTGGTGACGCCTCGTCCCGTGCAGAGTCTGCGGCCTCGCCTAGATTGGCAAGCCACAGGAGGTGAGACGTTGCCAGGCTGCTGGCTGGGCCGCTACCCCCCCCACCATCCCCCCGCCCGAGGCAGAATAATACTATGCAAGTGCTTAAATAATAATAAATTAATATCTAAGGACTTTATATCAGTAACTGCACGCATTGGGATGGGGGGGGGGGAAGAGGACATCTCACTGTGAAGAGAAATCGGCAGCGTGATGTGTATATCTATTCCATGTTAAACGCGTAAAATAAAATGTCCCCCATGAGCTGGAGGCAACGCGCATCACTTGGCAGGGTCCGCCCCCCCCCCCCGGCAATTGTCGTGAGTTGGTACGGTCGATGTCGCGCAATAAGTAAATAATTAAAATAAGAATGCCACTAATTTGTTAATTAAACGACTTACGGACGTGAAAACGGAATAGCCTATTCCCACCGCGGGGCTTAGGGCGTGCCGGCTGGCAAGTTATTTCAGTCTTAAACCCCAACATCCGAGAGGCAAATCCTCCGCAAGCTCGAGCGCGCGGAGACTTTTATATATAAGATTTTTTTTGCAACGTGTGCTATGAATGGCACACGATCTACATTTGTTGTCAGAAGTTACACAATCATTGTGGAAGGGATCTGCGAGTCACCCTCACGCACCACGCAGATATGAAATCTCCGCACGCAATATAACACGCACCAATCACACGCACAGGAATACACAAGACAGGGTCAAGGGTTAAAGGGCACTGACGTCACCCCGACCAGGCGTGCGAGACGAGGATGTGTATTGGGAACGAGGGCGGAGATGGTGGGGTTAAAAGGAGCTGTGAGACGCGTGTTTGGGGTTGTTTTTGGAACGAGTGGGTTGACGGATAAAGAAGTGCTTCTCTTCAATTGTTTGGACATGGATTAAAGAAGTATTGTTCTGCTTCCTGTCTATTAACATTGCGCAAAATTATATTAACCTATGAGAAAATGTGGTATGTGGTAAATAGAAAACTTTGATTTGTAAATATAAGTCAATTGGAATTATGTCAAAGCTGTAGTTTTTGTATTTACTGTACTTATATTTGTACTTTATGATTGAGGGAAATTGTGCCATTTTAAAAAATACACAGTGTAGTGTATTAAAACAAGTCTTGTCAGCACACTTATGAGAATGTCTGTTTGATAGAGAAGTTAAGTGCATCGATCGAATCAGAAATGTAACCAATGGGGGTTTCTTTCAGCAAGGCGTAACGGGGGTCCACAACTGCAGCAAATGCAGCAGACGCAGGGGGTCGGCAACCTGCGGCTCTAAAGCTACATGCGGCTCTTTAAGGGGCGCTTCGTGATGTCATTTATTAAGGACCACCCCGTCTCGTATTCAGATACAATGCAGCTCTTAAAATATTGATTTTTTTTTTACCGAATTCGAAAAAAATGGCTCTTCTTATTTTGGATACAGACCCTTGCACTCACGAATAAGCTCCGTATTTCCCAGATCATAACATGCACCCCCATCTTTGGCTTTAAAATATGGGGGGGGGGGGGGATGCTTGTTATCTGGATAATACGAAACTAGTGCCCCAATGCTCTGGGCAATGGGTGGTGCACATTTTTTGGTGGCCATGAGACAGTGTTGGAAATTCCACATTCTTATGGTAGGGTCACAGTCTCTCCAAATTACAATCGCAGTTGACTTTTCACAGAGCAGAAACTTACTCTTTTTATTGATAACTAGATGGTATATACGAGCTGCCAAAAATTAACATTACAATATTGAATTTATATATATATTTTAAATGATACTTTACACATCAATAAACGAACTTACATGAAACAAATGATTGAATAAAAAAAAGTCAAACAGATCCTTTTTCATTCATAACCTAACCCTGATGGAAAAAAATGCACACCAATACATATTTGGTTTTAAACCAAAAGAAGACATAAGGACAGTACAGTATTTACAAATTACAGTAAATGAAAATGTTTTGCCAAAGACTAATTCAATCTCAAGTTCATAGAATCACGTACTCAACAGAGCTATAATACAGATCCTAGAGGTAACGTTCTGAAGCATCTCACAAAATCCGGCCACCATTGCCTCATTTGGTCAATTTATAGGTTAATGATGCTGGCCTCATAAAATGTACACGTGTGCACACCCGCAATTCCATTGTCCACTTAAACACAGTGCTACTTTCAACTGAATTCTCATGTTCTGATCATTCAAAACCTCTTGATTCCCCGTTACTTCAATCAGCATCTGAAGATGTTGAGTCAAGAATTAGATTTTAACTCCGAGGCTTCTTCCGATGTAGCACACAAGACGGTCAGTCAACTTTTCATATTTATTTGTGAATGATTCTTCACCACCATTATCACAACGGTGCAATGGGATTTTAAATCTTGTGCGCCACTTGAAGATCAATAATCGGAAAAATGGGGTGCTGTGAGATGATATTAAGCATTGGCTCAATCATGCATTTTCATTCCAGTTTCTCCATTGCTTGACAATAACATATCCTGGCTCATAATAGCCAAGCTCCCCCCTCATGCCATCGGGTTTCTGAAAATTGGAGATTTGGTTTCGCAATGATGTCACTTGCTGTTTTAGTCTCCACTAACCTCCGTTATCTTCGAATCACCAGCGGTTGACTTTACAACGGCTGAGAATCTGTATTTTCTACTGAAGACCGTTTTGTGCGACCATGCTATTTGATTAAGTACGTAGCACTGTTTTGTAAGTCATTAATATAGGCAATCATCTGGTCCTTTAAAGTATAATCATTCGAATTGTGTCAGTCTGCCGCTGCTAGTCTCACCCGCATTGCACTTTCTGTTTCCAGCAGATGATGATGTTACTTCCTGTCTTACATCGTCACACTTCCTGTATCGCCACCAGATATTTATTCCATACTCGCCACTGTCACTCATTCCACAATGTCTTTGCAAAGCCGTAACTTTCCGTTGCCTTTTTTTAAACGAAATAACTTCCTGTTTCTTTGGAACGAAGTCCCCTTCTGTTGCAACAGACATGACATCACTTCCTGTCGATGGTGTTGTAGAACCACTCTGTGAATTTTCGCATCTGCTGTGCAGCGACCTGCGATTCCTCCTGGAGCCGCTGGTTGTCCCGGCGCAGGTAGTGCACCTCGCTCTGCAGCACCGTCTTGAATTCCTTCTCCTGTTGGGTGGAGGGGATAACGGGACCCAGCACACGGCAACACACGAAACCCCTTTTGCACAAAGTCTTTTTTTTACTTATACAAATCCATTGATCAATTCTCTCATAGCTTTATGGATAATATAAAAAAAACACTTCAAGAAAATTACATTAAAGTTACACGCAGAAGTAAGCTAAATGCTATAATATGTTGTCAACATTGTATATTATATCAAGAGTTTGAAGTGTTAAAAGTGGAAAGAGTCGGTGTCTCCCTGACCAAACAAGCATTGGGGTACCATCTTAGATTCATGGAGGCAAAGCCTCCATGAATCCCACCTCATCAGCAGATCATGGCCTGGCAAACAAATGCTTCGAATTTGCCTTTGATCCTATTCCATAATATGTTCCTCATTAATGGCGATAGACCCAAACTGTTTTTACCACATTTCTTTCTTTAGCGGGCATCACTACTTTACTCCGTCTCGATCCGTAATCTTTTAGATATTTGAACTCTGCACACATTTCTGGCGTTGCCTCCGCCTAGACTGCGCGTCGTGATTCCGCAGATCTAAAAACCTCCCTCACCTTTTTCAGGTCGTCTTGAAGACGCTGTAGCATCACCTCCAGGTGGTCCACCTTTCCGGCCAGGGCGCCCGGCGAAATATCCGATTCCGGGGATGCGAAGCGACTCCTGTAGAACGCAAGCAAACTAAGACAAAAGATAAAGATCTCCCTATAGGCATACAGAATGTTGGGGCAAGTACTGTTAACGAGCACCATTTAGGGCTGGCACAGTGGTCAAGGGGGAAAAGCAGTGTGCAAGCAATCTGCCCACACCCGGTGCTGTGGGCAGACGGCTCGACTCGCAATCAAAAGCCCACGAGTTCACATCCCAGTCAGGGTTCTACTCCATCCATCATCTCTCAGTGGTGTATAAGAATAAGTGATACACCTGTGGGAAGCCAACACTTAGAGCCATCCCGAGGGTACAGCAAATCGGGGCGACCGCCCCGGGCCCCACGTTTTGGGGGGCCCACACTTCAATATCACGGTGTCAGATGTAATACTTCTGGTTTAGTTTGAAGGCGTCGGGGGTGGGGTCCACACGGTGGGATTTGCCCCAGGCCCCGCACCCCGCTATGGATGGCCCTGCCAAGACTGGTTGAGGTGCCACGATGGCGAGACGTTAACTACCTTGCCTGGTATACAGGAGGTTGTGGGATCGACCACAACCCTGATTATTTAGAGTTTGCATGTTCTCCCCATGGTTGCGTGGATTTTTCTCCGGGTCCTCTGGTTTTTTCCTCCACATTTAGAATCAACAAGCGTTTAGATTATTTGGCTGCGATACATTTTCACGTGATAAGCCACTTAATTGCACTATTATTTGTCATAGACAGGTCGCTTATGAAAAAGAGCTATATAGAGCTCAGTGGGCCTTACCTGGTAAAATAAAAAATAGTTAAAAGTTTAGTTTGGTTATCTAAGCCCTGTGGACACAACCGTCCCTGACTTGCATGGCAGAATTGAGCATTGCCCCACACACTCGCTCGACATTTTGAGCATGGAACAGAATAATTCATCGGAAAAGCAGTGTTGGCCCAGTTTGAAATATCTGATTACTTTGTGAGTTTTCAGGCCTTGGGGGCGAGTGGGATATCTTTCCAATTTACATGCCTCGGCAGCGCTGCATTTCCGATCGCGCTTTCATAATTAATTGCTTCCCCATGCCCCACAGCTCTGCTGTAAAAACCGATGCGGTAACGTGCTGCAACTTTTCGCATTATTTCAATGGAGCAAAGCAACAGCAGAAGCGTGAAATATGCAAATAACCATCATGGTAATATCAGTTGAAATGTTTACTCTTCAGAGTATCAGGCAGACTGCGAGACTCGTTTCCAAGACAGGCGCAGCTTTTAGAAGTTTTGCCAATTCCTGCCACGTCTCTCTCTGTGGAGCGAAACGAGCGCTTGGAGAAAACCCACATGTACAAGGAAATAGAACTCAAAACTGACACCGACTATGTCAGAACACTACTTGCTATACCGCCTCTGATTGCTACATGGTAGCACAACAAGTGGATCTGGAGCACATCCTCGCCATCGTCACCACTTCAAGAACTGGTTTCAATAATTGTGGCTGAAACTCAAGAGTCTAACCTTGACTTTCAGGGGGCCAAGGACAGTGCTGTGATTTAGCATTAACCCCATGGGCCATCTGGTCGGCTCCTGAATGGGAAGTCCAACCGCATGCTCCCTGCGTGCGTGAGGGATTTGACTGGCCGCACCTGCAAAAGCTTTGTCAATTAAACAAAGAGTTTGGGGCAATGTGCCGTTTCTCTTGAGCTAAGATGTGAATTCCTCCACGATTTAAGAGTCCTTGTCGTAAGGTTTACTTAAAGAAGCGAACAGGAGGCACCACTCACAAAACCCACGATGCGCAATGCATTACTTAGAGCACCGTGTTCTGCAGAGAATGACAATGGCAAGAGACGGAGGTAATTCCACCGTCTCTCTCAGGAATTACCAGCCGTATTAAACATTACATGCGTTATCAACATTGTATAATCGTTCCTTGGAACTTTCTGAAGGAAGAACTTCTGCCACTCGTTTACCATCATGTTATCTAATCCACATAGGGAGTGCAGCAACAACATTCTATAGTTACATTCTAATATTAAGTTTCACGGTACATGTACAGCCCTATTCAAAACGGCAGCATTTTCCTGGTAGAATGAGCATTGGGCAGTGGTAATCTGACTTAAGACGGTTTAAGCTAATTAAAAATTTGCCATTATTTGTATACTGACCACCACAAGCAGTTGTTCATTTATCACTGCTGGAGGGATGACAGGCTGAGTCTACCCCACATCGGGAGTCAAACTAGAAACTTCCTGATTGTGCAGCTCTCCAATGTGGTTTTCGGATCGTACTAGACGTTCGTCACCATGTATGCTTCGCTGCACGTGCTGGCAGCAGCTTCTTCCGGAACCGCTGATGAGCAGCTCACTTACTTTGATATAGGGTTGCTTATTGATGCTGTTGCCAGTTCTTGATGCCGACTGGCTCAGCTTTCTGGCGCAGTCGTATTCCTGATTTTAAGCATTGAGAGTGCTGCCCTCCAACCCTCCCCCACCCACCCTCTTGCTTCCCATAGCGCGAGTCACGCACATTAAACTACATTAATTGTGGGAATTACAGCGTCTATCCAAGTGAAACTTTATGCCAACAATTGCCCAAGCTCTGTGGTCCTCTATACATTAAGGTGTTATTGGCCAATTAAAAAGTGTTCACACGGCCATGGCGGACGGTATGTATATACAGTGAGGGAAAAAAGTATTTGATCCCCTGCTGATTTTGTACGTTTGCCCACTGACAAAGAAATGATCAGTCTATAATTTTAATGGTAGGTTTATTTGAACAGTGAGAGACAGAATAACAACAAAAAATCCAGAAAAACGCATGTCAAACATTTTATAAATTGATTTGCATTTTAGTGAGGGAAATAAGTATTTGACCCCCTCTCAATAAGAAAGATTTCTGGCTCCCAGGTTTTTTTTATACAGGTAACGAGCTGAGATTAGGAGCACACTCTTAAAGGGAGTGCTCCTAATCTCAGCTTGTTACCTGTATAAAAGACGCCTGTTCACAGCAGCAATTAATCAGATTCCAAACTCTCCACCATGGCCAAGACCAAAGAGCTCTCCAAGGATGTCAGGGGCAAGATTGTAGACCTACACAAGGCTGGAATGGGCTACAAGACCATCGCCAAGCAGCTTGGTGAGAAGGTGACAACAGTTGGTGCGATTATTCGCAAATGGAAGAAACACAAAAGAACTGTCAACCTCCCTCGGCCTGGGGCTCCATGCAAGATCTTACCTCGTGGAGTTGCAATGATCATGAGAACAGTGAGGAATCAGCCCAGAACTACACGGGAGGATCTTGTCAATGATCTCAAGGCAGCTGGGACCATAGTCACCAAGAAAACAGTTGGTAACACACTACGCCGTGAAGGACTGAAATCCTGCAGCACCCGCAAGGTCCCCCTGCTCAAGAAAGCACATATACATGTCCGTCTGAAGTTTGCCAATGAACATCTGAATGATTCAGAGGACAACTGGGTGAAAGTGTTGTGGTCAGATGAGACCAAAATGGAGCTCTTTGGCATCAACTCAACTCGCCGTGTTTGGAGGAGGAGGAATGCTGCCTATGACCCCAAGAACACCATCCCCACCGTCAAACATGGAGGTGCAAATATTATGCTTTGGGGGTGTTTTTCTGCTAAGGGGCCAGGACAACTTCACCGCATCAAAGGGACGATGGACGGGGCCATGTACCTTCAAATCTTGTGTGAGAACCTCCTTCCCTCAGCCAGGCCATTGAAAATGGGTCATGAATGGGTATTCCAGCATGATAATGACCCAAAAAATACGGCCAAGGCAACAAAGGGGTGGCTCAAGAAAAAGCACATTAAGGTCCTGGAGTTGCCTATCCAGTTTCCAGACCTTAATCCCACAGAAAATCTGTGGAGGGAGCTGATGGTTCGAGTTGCCAAACGTCAGCCTCGAAACCTTAATGACTTGGAGAAGATCTGAGATGTGTGCAAACCTGGTGGCCAACTACAAAAAACGTCTGACCTCTGTGATTGCCAACAAGGGTTTTGCCACAAAGTACTAAGTCATGTTTTGCAGAGGGGTCAAATACTTATTTCCCTCACTAAAATGCAAATAAATTTATAACATTTTTGACATGCGTTTTTCTGGATGTTTTTGTTGTTATTCTGTCTCTCACTGTTCAAATAAACCTACCATTAAAATTATAGACTAATCATTTCTTTGTCAGTGGGCAAACGTACAAAATCAGCAGGGGATCAAATACTCCAAAATTAAAAACGATCCCACTAAAAACCTAACGACAAAAACCAACAGTATCATCACGAGTTCGACTTCCCTAATCGAACCAAGCAAACGTCCCTCTCTAAAACCATCGGCGGCTAGACCTCCCAGACTCTATGGTCTTCCCAAAATCCATAAAGAAGGCACCCCGCTACGACCCATCGTGTCGACGATAAACTCTCCTACGTACAAACTAGCCCGTTTTCTATCAGATACTCTGCTCCCCTTCACAGGCAAGACCTCTTCGGCAGTACTCAACTCAACCCAATTAGTCTCTATGGTTAAGGACATGGTACTATCTCCTGATGACATCCTCGTCAGCTTTGATGTAGTATCTTTGTTCACCAAAGTCCCAGTACCGGACACCCTTACAATAATTGAGGACTTAGTCCAACATGGATTGAATTCTGATGTACCTGCGTTGGTTAGGCATTGCCTCACCAACACTTATTTTACCTGGAATGGCACCTTCTACAAACAGAATGAGGGTACCCCTATGGGCTCCCCCTTGTCACCAGTTATAGCCAACATGTTCATGGAAAAGTTTGAATCAGACGCCATCCAGACATCCACCCTGCGTCCTTCCTTGTGGAAGAGGTATGTGGACGACACTTTCGTCATCTGGCCACATGGCCTCCCAGCATTGAACCACTTCTTGGACCACATCAATTCTAGACACCCATCCATCAGATTCACCATGGAAGTGGAGAAAGACGGTAAACTACCATTCTTGGATATTCTGTTTGAGAGGAGGCCTGACGGATGCTTGGGACATTCTGTCTACAGGAAAGCCACCCACACAGATTCCTACTTGAAACCGGATTCCCACCACCACCCATCTCAAAAGAATTATCTCATCAAAACGCTATACCACAGAGCCCATGGCATATCTGACCAACACCACCTGGCCGGTGAATTAAGACATGTACATCGGGCCCTCAGGATGAACGGATACTCTGACCGCACTATCCGCCAAGCTGTTTCTCCCACCATACAGAAACAGCCACATGAAACTCCGACCAAAACTATCACGTTGCCATACATAGCAGGCGTGACCAAAAAGATCTCCAAAATTCTAAACAAACATAAGATCCAAGTCCGATTCAGTACAGTGCATAAAATCCGTGATTTGATTCCATCTGTGAAGGATGTCGTTTCTGACTTACAGTATCCTGGAGTCTACAAATTGAGTTGCATTTGTGGTGATTGCTACATTGGAGAAACGAAACGTCATGTTTCTGATCGTGTCCGCGAGCACAAGTCAGATCTGAAACACGGCAGAACTGATTCTTCGGCCGTTGCCGATCATTGCTACAACTCGGTGGGCTCTCATGAAATTGTATTTTCCGAAACCAAGGTTCTCTGCAAACCTCCTGGCTACCATCAAAGGTTTGTACACGAAGCCATACAAATATACAAACACAGACATAATTTCAACCGTGATGACGGTTACAAACTGAGTAATCATTGGAAAGATGTGATTAACCATGCAAAAAAGATTTAACTACACTTATTTGCCAATCTTATTTGACAGACAACCATCACAGTTTTACCATGTCTAGTGGTGGTCTCCCTGTTACAGGTTGAGTCACAAACCGCACCTCTCCATAACAAAGGCTCAGCCTTTGTTATTCACTCCATTCTTAGTCTTAAGCCTCACCTTACCATATTAATAAAAGTATGCGGCCCTTGCTCCACCACCTCCTCCAACCATTATATAAACGGAGTGGTGGCTTCTGCAATCTCTCATTTACTTGATACAGCTGTCGTGGCTGTGACGGTACCACCTGAAGACGGAAGCTTGTGTTGCCTCCGAAACGTCGTGATTTTTATTTTATTTTACTTTTTAATGTTTTTTACCTACGTGACTTTACCGAAAAAACCTAAGAATATGAATCATTGCAGTCACGAAAACTTCAAATCTAGGATCAAATACTTTTTCCCTCACTGTATGTATATCGAACTTCTTTCGCACTGTACGTAGCCAAATATGTTAATCAGAAGTGTGGGGGAAGGACATCAAAACTAAACACAAAAAGCAGTTCTCAAGAACTGAATTTTCGATCTAGATTATTTAAGAGTGCATAGCTCCAGTGGCCTCCTCATAAAGAAAGGAAGAACATTCCAAAGAGCCGCAGAAGCGCATCTTAAAAGCGCGCGATAGGCCCTTGGTCCAACTATGCCGGTGTCGGGGTGGCGCCCTGAACTCACGTTGGCGGGTATTTGGTTGGCGACGACTGGTGCCAGCCTCTCGGGAGCTGGGCCCGGCCGTCGTTGGGTCCAAACGATACGGGGAGGTCGCGGGGTCGGATTCCGCCACCGGCTCCGACTCCGCCGATAACGCCCTGCGTGGCTGTGGTGGAGCGAACGGACACGCGACGGACGTGCACACGGCACGTATGCGCACTGAGTGAGATGTCGTGGTCTCAACCACTCCCAGACAACTGGTATTTACTCGGTGAATCGTTGCAAGAAACAATGTAATGATTCATTAATTTCAGTCGAGTCATGATGCCCACAATAAGGTTGTCTGACACGGAGCTCGGTTCCGCGCCTCAGAATTGTATCTACGGTCCGCATCATTGCGCGCATTACAAATTTTATTACTATTATTATAAGTTATGATGTTACATTTATTTAGCCTATTGGAGCGATAAAAACTATGCGATGGTAAAAATGAGACATAATCGATTTTGGAATATAATCATCACCCTCGAATTCATGACAACTTATCACATTGTACAGGAGTCAGCAGGCCGAATGGTTACACGATGACTATGAAAGCAGTTCTCCACCCACATCCATCCAAGTAACATATACTTGTGCACTCCAAGTGTCTCCACCCTCGGCGGGCGTGGGGTGACACTCCATCAATTCCACATTCCTATGACGGAAGCAAACTCCGTCATTGACCTCCTGCAAAGTGGCAGCATGGCGAGCGATGGGGCTGCGTCGTTCCACAACCAGGGTTTGAACTTGTGCCCTTGCAACTGCGAGCCAGACACTCGACCCACAGTTCCAGCTGGTCTAATTAACACACGATGTGTGTGTACAGATGCGGAGAGACGGCTTTTTACATCTCTCATTTATATGCATCCTAATGCGCCGCTTTGCTCGCGAGAAAAAACACAGGCTCTCCCGGGGCACGTGGGGAGCTGTGACCTCAATCTCGCCATCGAAAATTACAGGCAGCTTGATCCAAAAATGCATTTGTTGCCCGAGGCCAGGAGCAGTAGCTACGGCTGCAGGGACACCGCCGGCTCTGCAGCCTCGATGTCTTCACACTGCGTGCAGCAACGGGCGGGTTTAACGGGGTTTCCAGAAAAGTGTACAAAATGCTGCGAGGCTGCTCGTTCGCTCACTCACGCGTGCTCGCTCACTTGCACGCACTAACTTGCTCGCTTGCTCACTCATGTACCAGCACCACTGCCACAATCACCGGCACCACCACCAGCTTTGCCTGGCGCACCACACATCTCCTCTCCGACCCTTCATTACCTCATTCGTGTTTTTGATGCAATATGCCTATTTATATTGTTGTAAATTGTTGTTCTTTAAGCTATATTTTTTTCTGCACCTCTCACGCGTTCTGCTCTGTTATTGCCTATTCCTCGGTTCGGATCCACTTTGATGGTGTTGTTCTTGTTCTGTGCTAATGCACCACGGATCTCCCTTGCACGAACCAGCTGGGTAACTGGCTAAATTGGGACATCCCATGTTTAACAAACATCGATCGATTGACAACCACCACTAACGACACCACCGCCGTGACCATCACCACCACCGCCGTGACCATCACCACCACCGCCAGCGTTGCTGTCCTCACCACCGCTACGCCGAGCCGTACCTTCGTATTGCCGCGCCACGCTGACCAGGTTGGCCCACTCGAGCGCCGTCGCCGAGTCTGGCAGCGGCAGAAGCCCAGCCTCCCTGAGCGGGGGCGCCGCTGCACTGCGCAGCGACATCATCGAGTCCGACACCTGTAGCGGCCCTCCTGTGAGCAGCATCACAACAACGTGCATGCACGCATCAATACCAGGTGTCTAACAATACACACAGCAAGGTGTGTGTGTGTGGGAGCGGTAGTGTAGTGGTTGGTGCACTGCACTACGAACCCGGGAGCCCGGGTTCGATTCCCGCTCACGGCCACCATCAGTGACGATTGTCTGAACGGGTACTGGGCCTCCTCTAGATCGACTCAATCTAAAATGAGTACCTAGTGCATTGCGTAAACATCGCCACTGGCGAGACAAAGTAGGCCAGGCATGGTGCTTGCCAACCACCTTCTCGTGTCCCGTGCTGGCCTTCGTAGGTGCTCGCTAACAGCACTTGCCCCAACAATCTGCTAAAGTCTTAATTTGGAGCTTTCGTGACTGCAGGAATTACTCTTTGGTTCTTTCGGTAAAGTCACGTATAAAGATAAAATAATAAATTAAATAATAGCATACGACGTTTCGATTGCAACACAAGCAATCATCATCAGGTATAAATGAAATAGCAACAAAAATCTAACCAGAACACTATAGACAGACATATAAGCAGACAGATATCACCAAGATACATAGAGAGAGAGTAACACATAGGCACAGAGAGGGAGATCGTCTCTGTGGCGAGGCCTTAAATAGACAGAGGGGGGCTGGGGGCGGAGAGAGGGAGGGGTTAGAGAAAAAATTAACATGTCAATGAGTACGGAGACGCGTGGTAAAGTACGCAAGCTTGAACATTAGGAGAGAGGGAGAAAGAACACACTAAATTAAATAACCTAGCAAAATATCGAAATGTTATGTACTACAACACAGAGAGTCGGTCAACACACAATCAACGCATAGCCTGGTCGATTACGTATTTCAAAGATTGCTATCGAAATGTTATGTACTACAACACAGAGAGTCGGTCAACACACAATTAACGCATAGCCTGGTCGATTACGTATTTCAAAGATGGAGCAAGTGATTCACTGTTTAAGCTGTGGCCTACATTATAGGCATCTGCAGTTGCAAACTATATAAAGTGAAAGGAATATCGGACACTTGCTTATGCATGTTTACTTATTGACCACAGCAAATGCAGAGAGTGACTGAGAAAGACGTACTCGGAGATGGATATTACAGTCAACTGATCGCGCCAAAGTAGTAGTGATGGAGTCAAAATGAATGACAAAGACTAGATGGGGGAGACAGTCGCTTGGTGGAAGCACATCCTGCTGCGAGCCCTGCGAATTGAGCCCAAATATGAGTGGGCGAGCAATCTTTGAAATGATCCTGCCCCCCACTACCTTAATCCAGCAGTGGTTTGGCAAAGGGGCATCATAATTGTTGTTCATTACAGGTGACTTAAGCATGAACAAAAATGCAACTGTTCACCGTTAAACGTCTGCTATTTTGAATTTACCAGGTAAGGCCCACTGAGCTACATAGCTCATTTTCAAAAGTGACCTGGCCACAAATGATAGCTCAACGAAGTCGCTTATCACGTGGATATTTATAGCAGCTAAATACACGAAATGCATGTTGATTCTAAATGTGGAGGGAAAAATCAGAGGACCTAGAGAAAAATCCACACGACCACCGAGAGAACATGCAAATTCCAAATATACAGGCGTTAGGGTCGAGATCGAACTCACGACCTCCTGTATACCAGGTGAGGTAGTTAAAATCTCGCCACCATGGCGCTCTGTGTGCCCTCTGTAGTTTCTGAATCAATGCTGGTTGTTTTCAAGGACGGATGGCGCTGCAGGCAGATGTGGTGCCCTTAATTACGGGAGAGCGGCCATGCGGGGAAGACGGCACTCTGCGCCGCGGCAGACCAGCACACACCTCGTTCGCTGGGCCACATCGCTCAAGTGCACCCACCAGCCACGGTGCACGACCGCCTGCCAACTCAGTTTAACACGTAGGCATCCACGACCAATATCATCCATAATACAGGTTTTTTTGGGTTAGATCGTGTAAATATATAAACTCGCTCGCCAGTCACCCATGCAGTCCTTTGCCCGAGTGGCCCAACAAGGTTACCTGCACCCCCACGTTCGCCCACCTGCGCACTCGCCCGCTCCCTCACTCAACCTCTCAACCACACGTTCATTTTCACACGCGCTCACACATTGACTTGCTCGCGAAAACCAATATAGTCACTCATATTCTGATCCCCTTCCTTACCACTGGGGAGCAGTGGTTAGTGCACTGCGCTTGTGAACTGGTGACCCGAGTACAATTTACACGAGTGAGCAAAATTGGTGGCGGATATCTGAACCGCTCTTGGGCCTCTCCTATGTTGACTGGGCCTTAAATGGATACCTAGTGCAGTGTTAAAGGTGACAAGGTATGGTGTGGCCGCACCACCACCTCATGCGCTATGCCGGCCTTAATACGTACTCACGAAAAGCACTTTGTCTGAAAAGGGTGTGTGGGCTACATGGGGGGTCTTTGTCTACATTCAAAGATCCCCCGTATATATTTTATAAACTGTTGGAGCAAGTGCTGTTAGGGAGCACCTCATGAAGTTCGGAGGATGGGTGGTCAGCACTATGCCTGGCCACCTTTGTCTCCCCAGAAGCAATGTTTCCACATTGCACGAGGTACTCTTGAGGTCGAGTCGACCTAGGAGAGGCCCAGGGCAGGTCCATATAATAATTGCTGATGTTGGCTGTGACCGAACTCAGGTCACCGGGTTCATCGTGCAGCATGCTAAGCACTACACTGCTGCTTCCCACCTTTTACACAAAAACCAAGATCCCCCATATAGCTTTAACAGACTGTTGGGACAAGTGCTGTTAGTGAGCACCTATGAAGACCGGCACAGCACACGAGGGGGTGGGTGGCCAGCACCATGCCCGGCCACCTTTGTCTCCTTTGTAGCAATCTTTACGCATCGTAACATGTACTCATTTTGAGTTTGAGTCAACCTAGGGAAGGCCCAGGACCAGTTAAGATAATTTAACTTTAGTTGCCAGGTTTGTAGCGCAATGTGCTAACCATGGGTTAGCAACCAAAATAACAAGAAAGGGCTTTTTTTTTAATTCGGTAAAAAAACCTCTATATTTCAAGAGCAACAAAGCATTTTAATTAATACGAGAGACGGTGTTCCTTCATAAATAATGTTACGAAGTAGTCCTTAAAGAGCCGCATGCGGCTCCAGAGCGGCACTACACCCACACACCAATACCCGCCATTCGCCACCAGATGACGGTGACGTCACCATGGCGCCTGTGCCAGGCCAGGTGCACTTTGAGGCCACGTGAAGTGTCGAAGGCTCACTGACAGGTCTCAGGACAGAACCAGGTGCCATGGGTTCGCTGACTGAGATGACTGGTGGATGCACCAGCTGTGTCCCCTACTGTGCCAACTTTCTGCATTTTAGCCATCCGGCCCTCTGCTCATTGTTGTGAGTGTTGCTTCTCTGCCCTCCATTGTTGCTGGAGGGTGACTGCCTCCAATTACCCAGTAGCAGCGTCCTTCATGAGCCTCCTCCATAGAGGCCAATCTTGACACCGCTGGTACAAGTCATCGGCAAATCCACTCAGTTCCACATCCTCCCGTACCACATCACTCCACCTCTACTCCAGCCCATGTCGTGCCCGTTTAGCCACCTCTATGCGGCCAAACAGAAACTGCTTGGGCATGTGGTGGCTGGGCATGTGGGTAACATAACCCAGCCAACAAAGCCTTGCCTGCCAGAGGAGCTCACTCATGGGAATGTGTCCAGATCTTTCAAGGATTTGTGAACTCTTTACACCAGGGGTCCCCAACCCCCGGGCCGCGGACCGGTACCGGAATGTGGCCTGTTAGGAACCGGGCCGCACAGCAGGAGGTGAGCGGTGAGTCCGTGCGTGGCCCGCCCCCATTATTTTATTATTTACCACTTCCATCCGCGCCTCTTTCCCACACTGCGCACTTGTCTCAGTCACAGTTTTGGTAAGCCCACAAGCTGTAACCCCTAGCCAAAAAGAGTAAAAAACAAACGTCGCTGGAGAGCTTCTTGGAAAAGGGGGAAAGACCCAATGATGAACACCCCTCCCCCCCCGGTCCGTGAAAAAATTGTCTTCCACGAAACCGGTCCCGAGTGCCAAAAAGGTTGGGGACCGCTGCCTTACACAATCCAGCCTGGTTAAACCCAGGATAGATAGTAGGCATGGCAGTATGAATGTTTCTAACCAGCGAAAATGTTCCATTAGGGGGGGTCCACATTTTGCAAGTGTAGAGAAGGGATGGCATGACTGTGGCTAAGAAGACCCGACGCTTCATGCGGAGAGACAGACCAGGTAGCTTCCACACAGCGTTACGCAGCCGATGAAAAGAGAATGCTGACCGACTGATTTGGAGTGAGACCTCTGCTGTCAAACTGGAGCTGGTCATAAGCCACTGCCCAGGTATGGGAAACTCTCCACTCTCTCCACAACTGCTCCACCACCAATGGGGAGCTGAGGGAGTGAAGTGTTTGGTGGCAGAAAATACCCAGGGTAGGTGCTTAGTTTTGGTGGGGCTGATAGTAAGGCCCCAACTGTTAGTGGCACGCTCCAGGTTCAGCAGCAGCGCCTCCAACTCCTCCTCTGAGTGAGCAGCAATTACCAGATCAATGGCATACATAACATGGTTGGCTAATAGGGAGCCATCCCTTGACCGCGACCACAAGGTAATATAAACTCTTTCTGGTAACAGCTTCTCTTCACAAGGCAGCACACATCGTGCTGCTCTAGCAGACATCGCGGCTGTCGCGATTTTGACCTGAAGACGATGGCTTGTGTTGCTATCGAAACGTCGTGATTTATTTTGTTTTATTTCTACTTTCGTGACTTACCGAAAGAACCAAAGAGTATGTTATTGTGATGTCGAGTAGGGCAGTCTGTTCACAAACACCACCCTCCCTCAGCATTTCGCTTGGGAGATCATCTCTGCCCGGTGCTTTTCCTGGTCTCAGACTCTGGATCGCCTTCAGGACTTCCTCAACAGATGTCACATCAGCCAGCCACTCACAGGGGGTGACTACTTCTTCCAATATTTGTGGCACGGCAGCCTCTACACGGTCATCCACACTTTTCCCCATGATGTTTTCTGCCCGAGGAATTTCCCATCCTCCAAGAATTCACAGATATGCTCAGCAAATCTGCAAACCTTTTCCTGGGGGTTGGAGATTGGATCACCGTTTTTTCCCCTAAAAAAGTAACGACATACAAATCCCCCAATCACACAAACACGTCCCACACACACACATAGCCTGCACCACACACACAGCCTCTACCACACGTACACCACCTGCGCCGCACTGTACACACTGAAGTGCACTACACACGATGCAATACAAGCCACAGTGCACCATAGACTACAGTACACCCCCCTCTACAGTACCCCCCCTCTACAGTACACACACCACAGTACACCACGGTACAGCACACACGCTACAGGACACAGCTCTACAGTACACAACGCTACAGTACACCCCACGCTACAGTACACCACGCTATTTATAAACAGACAAGAACACACGCACACAGATACACAAACACACAAGACACGAGGACACAGATAATACACAGACACTAATCATACAGGTGTTGGACATGCACGCTGTCGAAAAAAAGCACGCTAAAACAAACCGCCGAGAAAAACGTTAAACAATAAAAAAAACGATCAAGAAAAGCGATATTAACGCACACTAATAAACACCGAGATACATATAGCACCTACCTTCACACACACACACACTTTCAATCTCAATCACACACACACACTTTCAATCTCAATCACACACACACGCACGCGCTCACACGCGTGCACGCCCTCACCCATCCTCTGGGGGCTGTCGAGCGTGAGCGGCGGCATGGAGCGTCGCTGTGGTGCTGTTGGCGGTGTGAGTGACCCGCCACTGTGGTGCTGGTGGTGGAGGTAGAAGCCCTCGCTCGACGCGCTCAACTCAACACCGCCGTACTCGCGGGCGCCGGCCAGCGTCGGGTTGCGCCGCCCGCTGCAGATGCTCTCGTCCGACAGCGTGCGATGCAATGGGCGTCCCAGCGGGGGAGTCAGCGGGCTGCGTGGCAGGGACAGCTGCGCGAAGGGGGAGGGCGGGGACGGTAACACGGAGGAGGTTGAGTTCATTGTGACGGACGGTGGTGGTGATATTAGCTTAGCGGTGGATCGGTAGATTCGGAGATGGGCGAGGTTGAGTTGTGACAGTAGGGATGGTGAGGGTGATGATGATGTTGTTGGTGATGTTTAAGTTTTGGTATTGATGAAAGAGATTACAATGGTGGTCATGGTGATGACGGTGGTAGTAGTGATGATTACATTCAATAAAACGATGGCAAATGTAGCGGTAGCTATGGCGATTATGATGACGATATGTATCACAACGCTGTTGATGATGATGGCAGTGGCGTGTGCACCCCATCCTCACGGGGGGGTCCAGCCGATCCTCACCCGTCGCTCTTTTTCTGGGCAGGGCGAGGGCGCGGGGCTCTCGGGGGCGATGAGCTTCAGCAGATCCTCCACCACCTTGGACTGTGCCGGGGCGCGCTTCGGCGACCTCAGGTCACGCACGGACGCACGCAGCCGTGTCTTACTCAGAGCCCCCGCCTCGCACTGCAACCTCCTTGGCGGATGGGTTAGGGGGGTGGGAGGGGAGATGAGACGCACGGGCGGGAACGGACAGACACATACACAGAGAGGGTTAGAATGCAAAATGACGCAATGCGGGGAACACCACAATTAAACGGTGCGACAAAGATACATGGGACAGAGAAATTTGAAGGGAGAGTCGGAACATAGGCGCACGTATACGGGGACCAAGACAGAAACACAGCCCGCGAGATACGCAAGTGCACAAACGGATTCAAAGAGCGGGAGAGAATCAGCGGTTGGCGACGTTGCTCACCGTTGCCCGTCCTTGTCGCTGGGCAACCTCGAGGTCTGGTGCTGCCCCGGCGAAGCCTTGCGGGACGTGGGGACCTTTGTGCTACCTGACGGCGCCGGTGGCTGCTGTGCGGGCGCCACCAGTGTGGAGCGGGAGCTGTCAGACGACGAACTCTTGCTGTGGTTGTGGGCGACGGTGGATGGCCTGCACAGGGGACACATTGGGGATGATGGCGAAATGAAGAATTAGAGGCGGACGACAGAGGCAGTGGACCCTGCCCCCCTAATCCGGCACACAGCTCATTTGCGACAGGATCACTTCTTGCGGCGAGATACCCTCAAACTAGATTGCGCAACTGGCTGTATCAAGCTCGTGCTTTGTTTAATAAAAGCTTTAATATTTTAAAATGCGTGACTATTGCACCCCTTTTTCCACTGCTACACCCGGAGCCAAGCCAGTGCAGAGCCCCCATGGCACAGGTGGCTATCACTGCCTATTTTCCAGTGTAAATGATGGCTTCATGAGACATTGTAATCTACAAGCTTTTCTCATTCTACACAATGTATTCTTCACTTGACAATCTAAATGTTAGCACTCGGTATTTGAATTGTCAAAATAAAGGCAAAAATAACTTGTACTCTTTGGTTCTTTCGGTAAAGTCACGTAGGTAAAAAAAATAATAGATCACAACGTTTCGATCGCAACACAAGCAATCGTCATCAGGCGAGACAACCACAGCAAGAAAACTGCTGAAGCAGGCCCGATTGGCCCTGGCCAAACAGTATGGATTCCTGCAGTCGCGAAAGCTTCAAATCAAGATCAAAAAGAACTTCATATGAGGATGACTTTGTCATGCAGATCTTGATGACCAGATTCATACCACAAACTCGCTGTACACGAGAACCCACATAACACAGCATTCAATCCCAGACTGTCATCAGTGCTATCTCCTTGCTCGGACATGGTCATTATGACTCGCCATAGCACTGCACATCCACTAGCTATGTTTTTAACAAACAAAAAAGATTTCATGACTTTTTTTTATCTTGTCTCACTTCCATTGTAAAAAAACATCAAACCTCACGGCCATTCCGCCTGTTCCCAAAGCTCTCTGCGCACTACGGTTCCCGTGCCATTAGGGAATTGCTAATCAAACAAATCAGCAGAGTACTGCGGAAACAGACACCGAAATAAAACTAAAAACTCACGGCCAATCAGCGGCGCGGTGCTGCATGTCCCAGTCCAGCTCGGTGACACTCGTCCCCTCTGGAGTCACTTCCCGGATGCACGGGGGCCCTCCCTCTGTAACGACAGCCCACACTTTGCCGCCACCGCCGTCTCCCGCCGGCCCCCTCTGCGAGGTAGGTGTGGGCCGCCCCGCGGGGCTGGCGTATGACGCCCCGCCTCCAGACGACACGGTGCCGGGTCGCGACGATGTCGGCGGCGGCAAGTCAATGCCGCTGTCCGTGGATGCGCCCGGGGTGTGGTGGTGTTGTGGAAAGCCACGGTGGCCCGATCGGCCCTGGCCAGGACCCACGCCGGTCGCTCCGCCACCCACGGTAGCGCCGCCGCCACTGCCGCCACTGCCGCCACTGCCGCCACTGCCGCCGGTGCCGGTGCCGCCGCCCCCGACACCGCCACCGCCCTCGGGCTCCAGGGGGTCGCCCGATCCGTACCAGCGCTCGTCGCTGTGCCGGCTCGACGCAGTGCTCGACAGCGTGTTGCTGCTCGAGGGGCTGGAGTAGTACGAGTCCGTTCCCTGTGGGGTGACAAACAGCGATGCTGCTCTCACTGCGCGCCGCCCGCAAGAGGCTTGCGTGACGATTCACAGTCTCCACGATATCGGTGAACGCTTGTGATTGGTGGATCGTGATTCGGCGTTTGATTAATTTTTCGTGCCTTCTGAACAAGGTTGAAAGTGTTCAAGCACCATTTGAGTGTGTCCATTCGACAAACACATTTAATGGACACCCTCGATGAACACCCTCGCAAACGAGATGTTCCATCAACGGATTTCCAGGTGAAATATTTTAATAAACAATTAATAAAAACATTCATTTGAAGAATAAATATATCTGTCTGCAAACACACCAAATAAATCTATTAAAACGAACATTACAACAATTCCCTGTGCATCTGCTTTCCTGCGCACACTTGCTGCCCTGGTGCTGCCCAGTGTACCCACAATGCTGCCAGTGTCCCCGAGCCAGGCCACCGGCGCTATTGCTGCCTCGTACCTGCGTCTGCCGGCTAGGCGAGTCGGCCGCCGGCGCAACTTCCCGGCGCACCGGCCGCATCGACTGGCCGGGTCCACGGCTGCCCATGCCGCTCGCCCACATCACGTCGACTGCAATGGTGAAGGGGGGGGGGGGGGCAAAATAACCATTCATCGTTTACACCCCCACACAGGGCTTCGCAGTTCCACTGCACAGTTCTGCGATATGTGGCGCCAGTTGGATCGGCATGTTTGACTTTTCGCTCAAAGTGCTGGGCTTCTTCCTGAATCGTAACTACAGGCAGTCCCCGCTTTTATGGCACAAGGTGTTCCTGGAAACCCTGTCGTAAATTGGAGCCCCATAGACAGTAGAAACAGTAGAAACATCACCTGCCGGTGTGTTTTTCTTTTTATCAACCATATTTAATAGGGTTTAAGAGGTAAAAATACACAAAAACACTTGAGAAAAACAAAAGTTCCACACCAAGTCACATCGGAAACCACACCGACTGTTCAAATGTGTTCTTAGTCATGTCAAAATATGCGTCGTAAATCTATTTTCTGCATCGTAAATCGATCTATGGTGGCAATATATAAATGTGGTAAATGTGGATCATTGTAAAATTGGACCGTCATAAACTGGAAACTGCCTGCAATTAGTAAATAATTCTCACTCGTATGGCAATGCGTGTGGTATAAACGCTAGAAGTGGTATCATGGGTCGATTGATCAATCAATGCATCGTCGTTCCATACTACGTGGGAATCACGATGCCACCTCGCCCGACAGGCACCCTACCTGGCAGAACCATCGCCGCCGTCATCGCTCGGCGGCAACGAACACCCGAGCGTCTCGCGAAACTCATTGCGCTGGAAACCGGAACGCCTTTTGTTACCTCCAGAAGGCTTCGTCTGGACCGAGGCCACCTCCTTGTGTCGTCTGGAGGTGTCCGTGTAGTCATGTGACCCCTGTCGCTCGTGCGAATTCACCTCGGCAGGATGGATGGGCGCAAACCTGACATTGTGGACAAACGACAAGAAGCAACACAATTAAAAAAACAAGGTGTTCAGTTGAAACTGCGTGCCGGAAATAAACTACAAAATGAAACAAGTATTTCATCACTATTATGAAAACGGTTTGACTTATCGATGTTAAAGTTTCACCCCCCCCCCCCACCCCCCGTAATATTTTAAAAGGGATGCTGGGAAGAGGAACCAAACGGTGAAACAACATGCCGATGTAACCTTTCCCACAACTGATGCGAAATGCCAAGCGAATTTCCGCGTGGGGCTGTGAATGCTGCACAACAGTGGGCTCCTGCTCAATCGATGTCAGCTCCTAACGGAAGCCGACACCGTGGCCCTGACAGCAGCCGCTCCCGCCTGACCTTTCAGCAGCCGCACGCCTTAGAGCACAAGCCACGTGGGACACGCGACCGGCGCTCCCAACGACAATGTCCAACTCCCTGAGCAAGTTCGTAGAGGGTGCGCCACATCTGTGTGCACGCTTGTGCTTCTGTCTGTCCTGTGTGTGTGTGTCTCCGATTCCCGCTCATGGCCAACACCAGTGATGATTATCTGAATTGGTCCTGGGCCTCCCCTAGGTTGAATCAGCCTCAAATGAGTACCAAGTGCTGTGTATAAACATCGCCACTTATGGAGACAAAAGGCGGCCAGGCATGGTGTTGGCCAAAGCGAACCTTCATAGGTGTTCACTAACAGCACTTGCCTCAAGTGTGTTAAGGCTATACGTGGGATCCTTTTTTCTGTGTGTGTGCTGGTTTCTGCTCTAGCAAAAATGAGCAACCACTGACAAATGTGGTCTGACTGCAACAACGATGATTGTCACAAGGTTATATAACAATGACAAGAGTTGGTTGAATTTTGAGGAATTAAAGTGTGAGAGAATATATTACATGGAATTAATAAACTTAAAAAAATATAACAAAACCATTAGTACCCATAAAGTTTCAATGTTAAGCCAATGAGTGGTTCAATATTTACCGATTAAATACTTGGTTTGCATTCAAACATACTTTGTCCATCCTACCACGTGCAGATCACCACATTCGACCACCCATGTTGAGGTCTAACAGACATCGACTCTTTTGTCTCATCCACCAGGCTGTGCTTAACCACCACCACTGCCACACTGCAGGTCAAAATGTTTCTCTTTCTACTTCTTCCCTTCGCATTGCCACCCCTCTTCCCAAGTTTGTGTTCAATTCAACGTGTCGAGCGTGTCGACCCCTATCCACTACAACTCCGAAAGCGACGTTGCGGACGGCTTTTGTGTTGTTGGGCCTTCGGGCCCATGCCCCTCAACTGCCATTTATAAATGGACGTATTGGCAGCACACCGGTGCAGCATAACACACCGGGGTCCTCATCAAACAGTCTGACAATGTCGCTGTTGTCCTTGAGTGACCTGCTGACTCGCCATCAGAAGTTCCCTTAGATTCAGCAGCTCTTTTCCCATTCGAATGTGTGACATGAGTCATAATCTTTTGATGCCACCGTCTGCCAATACATTTTTCCGGAAATAGAGGAACCGTCCGACCAAGGCACGAGTCAAATCTGCCCTTAGAACACAGAGCAGCCAATCGTCATCAGACTGGGTGCTATAAGGCAACAGACGGTGAAGCTTCGAGTTCAGCTGCTCATAACATTCAAATTCTGACTGTTGTGACATCACAAGAACTGATTTTGACGCACCTAGCAAGATTTTCTGACAGGGGCTGCTAATCGTGGGAAAATAAGTAACTCTTGTGATGTTTTGTATATACCGCACACCGGTGTACTGCCAAAATGCTCAAATACTACATGAATACCATATGATAGGGTTATGAGGTGGGCAGTGGATGGCAGTACACACAGCAGGTTGCTGATCTGTGTGTGTGTCTGGATGCTAAAACATAATCCCCTCACATAAACCTAGTTTGCTTACTCTATCGTGCACTCCAGTTGCATCACGAATGATGAAAAAATAAATAATCGTCCACAAACATGAATAGAGTCCAGCAATTCTGTTCATGGTTTCCTGGACAAATGAAGGACATTTTGAAACCTTTATTATTACCATCGTAAATAGAGCAAGGGAGCTGTGTGGGTTGTGACAAGCACTCGGAGGCAGAACAGTTTAAAGGTCAGCCATTTATAAAAACGTCTGGTAAGCACGTTGTGATCCTTCTTCATTTGCCTGACAAAACTTCACTTGTCGGACAAAATTAACGCTCACTGCTTCTGCTTTCCATGTAACTGCAATGTTTCCATTTTCAAGAGTAAATTAACTGTAAGGAAGCAAGCCTAGTTTTCATTTATAGAAATTAAAGGTTTATTTTTAGTAGCGTTTTGTAGTGCTGCAATTAATCGATGGAACAAATCTTGGGCCTGGTGCTGCCCCAAGCCTCCCCTCCTTCACGACCTTCGCTGCAAAGCAGTTGCGTTGCAGGATTAACTATCCACAGGGCGCGCCATGGGCTGGTTAATCCACATGACCATATCCCAACAAGCAGGGCATGTCTCACATTACCCCATCGGCAGGCCAAACATCTATTCATTGTCGAGGTGGCCTTGTGGCTGAAAGAGCCCATAACCATAACAACCAATCGAAATAAAATACAGTACGGAAAATAATGCTTGCCTCCTCAAAAAAGCCTCACCGAACCTTAAGACTTTTTTCCAGCAGAGTCCTGGCATGTGTTTGCAGATCGAGACAATGTTGCTTTGTGTAATCCGATTTGACGAATGTTAGAACATTGTCAGCAGATTTTATTGTTGGAATGTTCTGCCACTGCTAGTTACATTCTATGTTTATGTTTGAGCTATAGGAGGAAATCAGAGAGCCCAGATTAAACCCATGTGGAATGACAGGGGAGAACTTACAAGCTCCACACACAGAGAAAGACACCCGAGTCAGGAATCAAAACCAGACCCTTTCTTGCTGTGGAGCCACAAATGTTATCACTGCGCCGAACCCTGCCTCCCAAGTAATGGGAGATGCCGGTGGAGTGAAAGAGGACTTAAATATCCCAACACAACATTTTGATAGGTTGAAGTGGTAAGTCATAAGGGCTGTGTCAGAGCACGGATTGCCGATTGAGCCACGAGGCTTATTTCAGCCAATTTCAGGCTGCTTTCATGGGAATATATTGTCAGCAGTAACATTTGAAATATCTGATCATAATTAAAGGTTGCCATTGGAGAATTTCTAGCTCATTTCCAATTCCCAACAGTCACGGGTGAAATTAGGTTACGGGAACGGAGATTGGTAATTGCATTTTCTTTTTTTCCACCATTAAGCAACTGTGTATAGGAAAGCATGTGCTTGGAAGATAATGTTGAACAAATTGGAATTATGAAAAAAATATTAATTTAAGACCTACATCTGATCTAGAAAAAATGTAATGTTCAAGCCAAGCTGAAAAGGTCATCATAGCCCCTGATGTTACCACACTGTGCGCTATTACTTTCTTTCCCCTACTAGATCCTACAGCTCCCGCATACACAACACACGACCTCCATGACCCGCTCATGCACCACTCCACCCGCTCGCGCACCCCACCGTGTGGCATCGGTTAACGCGATTAAACCGCTTTCATTACAGTGTAATTCAATGAATGCATTTACAGCTTTTTATGGAATTTTCTAAACAAAAAAGCAAATCCAATATGACAAGATGAATAAAATCCATACATAACAGCCAGGCGAGGGCACTGGGTCCACGGCAAGTGTGCACGCAGCAGGGTATGAACCGTAGCCCTCCGACTTCCAGGGCAAACGATAACACTATGTAACACGATTTTTGTCCCTGGGTACTAAGTGTTATTTTTTAATTGCTTATGCCTAAAAAGTATAGAAAATGGCTATTATTCCCCACAAACTTTGCTTTTGTGACCAGGACTTTATGTGAACTAAAGACACAAATGCATACGTTTCTCATTGAAAATAATTAAATATCAAAATATCACTGTCTTGGTCACAAAAGCAAAGTTTGTGGGAAATAATAGCCATTATCTGTGTACTTTTAAGGCATAAGCAATTAAAAATAACAGTAGTAGTAGGTTTTTACCCTTTTAAACTGGTACAAAACTGACACCTTTATTCAAGGCATCATGTTTGCAATAACCACAACACAAGTAGTCAAAAAAGCAAACAAAAAGAAGCAACTCTGATAATGAAAATAATATGCACTGTCCTTGAAGTTGATTGGTCCACACCCGAGACGGCTTTCTTTAGAGCCTAGTCCCCATTGGTGTTGGACCAGATGACACCAAAAGGCGTACAACTCAAACACAGTGCAATATCAGAGTATTGAGAGCTCAGAGTAAGCATTTGCACTATGAGATCTCTTTTACCAGTGGCAAAATATAGTAGTAGGTTTTTACCCTTTTAAACTGGTACAAAACTGACACCTTTATTCAAGGCATCATGTTTGCAATAACCACAACTCAAGTAGTCAAAAAAGCAAACAAAAAGAAGCAACTCTGATAATGATAATAAAATGCACTGTCCTTGAAGTTGATTGGTCCACACCCGAGATGGCTTTCTTTAGAGCCTAGTCCCCATTGGTGTTGGACCAGATGACACCAGAAGGAGTACAACTCAAACACAAAGTGTAGTGATTTGATTCCATCTGTGAAGGATGTCGTTCCTGACTTACAGTATCCTGGAGTCTACAAATTGAGTTGCATTTGTGGTGATTGCTACATTGGAGAAACGAAACGTCATGTTTCTGATCGTGTCCGCGAGCACAAGTCAGATCTGAAACACGGCAGAACTGATTCTTCGGCCGTTGCCGATCATTGCTACAACTCGGTGGGCTCTCATGAAATTGTATTTTCCGAGACCAAGGTTCTCTGCAAACCTCCTGGCTACCATCAAAGGTTTGTACACGAAGCCATACAAATATACAAACACAGACATAATTTCAACCGTGATGACGGTTACAAACTGAGTAATCATTGGAAAGATGTGATTAACCATGCAAAAAAGATTTAACTACACTTATTTGCCA